ACTAGTTAGTCTCTAAGGTGCCACCCTGCCCTACTTCTACCCTTCTGAGCATCTGCAACTCCACCCATCTTGGTGTTATTTGCAAATTTGCTAAGTGTGCATTCAGTCTCATTCTCCACATTTTTAATGAACATATTGAACAGTAGTGGTTTCAGCTCAGCCCGCCTGGGAGACCCATTTGATACCTCGTCTCAATTAGAAATCAAATCACATCAATGCTTGATGTCTATGATCCAGTGAGAATTGGAATTGGTGGATAGTGTTGAAGAGCTGTGGGGGAGGGCAGGGAAGGAAGGGTGGGGGCAACTCCCTACTGCTGCGTGCACCCTAGGGGAGGCATGGGGGGGGCATGTGCCCCCACCCAGATTTGTGTGCAGGGCAAGGGCAAGCTGCCTGCTGCAGGCTCGGGGCCAGAGGCCTCTTTCTGGCATGGGGGCTGGGCCAGGGCTGAGCTTGGAGCAGGTGGTGGTGGGCCAGGCTCAACCGTATGAGACAAGCAGTAGCAGCACTGCGAAGGATAGCTATAGCTCCCTAGCCCCCATTGCTTGGGGCATGCAACTTTGCTGGCTTTCCCTGGGGAGCCCCATGTGGGGAACTCGCAGGGAGTGCCCAGAGGAGGGGCAGTGCTAGGGAGGTTTGGGAGGCTACAACCACCCCAAAATTCCCATAGCTACCCTTCCAAGCTAAGCCCAGCCTGCCCCTGCCTGCTCCCACGAGCCCGCAGCAGGCACCCCTCCCTCACTCCATGCACAAATCCAGGGAGGTACATGCCCCACATGAACAGCAACAGAGAGCTGCCCCCCTCCCCATGCTCCCTAGTCAAGCCACCCACAGCTCTGTCACACTCCTGGCCCATCCACTTGCAGCTGTGTACATGCACGTGGCATTTATCAGTGACATTGGCCAAAAAAAGGTGACTGCCAATAATGTTAATTTTCCTGTTATTGGTGCTGATCCAATATGCAACTGATATATCAGTGGACCTCTAGTTTTATCACAACATACATAATCCAAGAAGGGATTTACCTGTGCTTCCCAGCAACCCTTTGCTGCATAGTCCCTTAATTTCCTGAGACTCTGGAGGTATCTGCCAGGATCTGACATCTACAGAGAAGCACAAAAACAGCATTAAGAAAGTTTGCCCCTTTGTAAAGGGAGAGAACGACACTGTTTGCATTACTAAGAGCCGAAGGAACCATCACTTGTCCTACACCTCCAGCCCTCTATGGACAAAGTCTGACAAAGCATCTAGCCTGTTTCTCTCACGGACAAATCTTGTTTTAAAGGCTCTGAATTAGGACTAAAAAGTTGAGAGTTCAGTGTCCATCAAGGGCAAAGACTTGAAGTGGCCTTGTCCCAGTCCCTTAGGCCCTGGGTTTATTTCCAAATGTCCTCATCTTTCACCATTCATCCATCTTGTTTAAAGTGTAAGCTCATGGCAGGGGTGGACAAAATACAGCCCACCAACTTGTGGCGTCCCTCAGCCCTAACAGGTGGTGCCATAGCACCCTCATCCCTTGCAAGTCCACAGCTTGCTCAGGGATGCCAATGTGGCAGTGGCAGCCCCCACCTGCACCAGCTTGGCATGAGGCATGGAGTGATGTGGGGGCAGCGCTGGGAGCCCCACTGAGGATGCCATGTCTGGGGCCGGTCTCCAAGGAGACCGGCCAGAAGCCACATGTGAAGGGCACATGGCCAGGTAGGAAGACCTGCACCCAGCCCCAGCACCCTCACTGGAGCTCCTGCTGCTGCCCCTGTGCTGCTCCATTCTGCTACCCCTCATATGGAGCCAGCAGAGCTGGGGGCTGTCGCCACCACACAGGCATTCACCACACAAGCTGCAGACTGGCACAGGATAGGGGTGCCCCGGTGCTTCCTGCCTCCCCTGACCCAGTCCAGGCCGCTGCTTCTAAGTGCATGGTGGGGTGTGGAGTTGCTGCCAGGTCCACCTTCCTCCCTCCCCTGCCTGTGGGCTGCATGCTGCAGGCTGGGGGAAGGGACGGGCAAGGGGAGGGAGGCTTAGTTCCTCCCATCCGGCAGGCTTGGTGGTCACACATGGCCATTCCGTGCCCCTGCCTCCTCTCCTTGAAGAGGAAGAAGTTCCACAAGGCTTGCAGCCCTCCTCTCCCCCTCATGGTTGCTGCAGCTCCCCAGTAAGGCCCCGCAGCAGCTTCAAGCTCTTCCCCAGCCCCATGCTGTCACCACCCCCAGATCCTGGCTCTGGCCACAGCTCTGGGGAGCCACACGGGCAAGCTGCATGAGTGGGTGGGGAGCTGCATCTGGGGCTGGGATTGTGCAGCAGTGACAGCGCAGGGCTGGGGGCAGAGCTGAGATCCCCCTGCCTATGGAATCTGTGCCTGTCACAGGGGTGTGCAGGCAGCAGATCACGGTTCTGACCAAGCCCTGGCCCTGCATTGTCACCGCTCCATGCCTCTGCCCTGTGATCCCAGCCCTGCCCAGTCTCGCTCCTGAACACCGCTACCTGGGGCCTCATCCCACACAGGGGGTTTTGGCGAGTTGTTACACATGGGGGGCAGGAAAGGTGCTGACCCAGCTCACCAAAACAGGCCATGTGGCCCTCAGGCCCAAATAATTGCCCATCTCCATCTTAAAGGAAGGAACTGTCTTACTCTGTATTTAGCATCTAACAGCCCCAGTCCTGGTTAGAGCATGTGGTACTCCTGCAATACAAATTAATATTATTTTAGGAAGCATTTACTCACAGCAGCCTTTCTGTTACTTTCCCAGAGGAGGTAGGAGCTGTTTAGACAACCCTGCTTTGAAGATTCTTCAAACATTTCAAGGGCTTCCTCTCTTTTTTCTTCATCCTAAGAACACAGGATAACATGTCATTTATTCTGCAAAGTGTGGCAGAATTTCCAAAGATTAAAAACTACAGCACACAGTCTATTGACTAAAAGCAATCTACAGATTTTCAGGGCTGTTTCCAGCACTACTGCAGGCACTGCCGTTAGGAGACTCAGGCTGGGGGGTTGCTTTGCACCCTTCCTCTGGGAGTTCAAACAATTGAGACCTAAGTGGGCAGCATGCCCTTTGCTTTGGTACCAGTGATGACAGCTCTCAAAAGGAGCATCCACTCAGTGTGAACACTATGGGTCTAGTACTTAAAACTAGGGGTGCACCGATAGTTTTTGGGGGCTGATACTGATAGTTGATATTTAAGGAGGCTGATATGGAGCCGATACAGCTGCCATCAGCTGATAAGTCCCTTGTGGTGGAAAGGGAGGGAAGAGAGAAGGCGTGGGGGGGCAGATCAGCACCCCCCACATTGAGGGAGGGGGCAGGGGCAGGTACTGCCCAGCGGGGGCGAGGGCAGGGGGATGACACATGCAGGATAGAGTGTGGTTTTGGGGGGGGGGGGG